ACCCAGCCGCAGTGGCTTCTGGGAGAGCGTGGCGTCCTTGGAATAAATGTCACAGAGACCCGGCCGTGGGCCAGGCCGGTCCTCGCGTCTGTGTTCTTGCGTGCTCTACCCCTTTGGGTTGAAACCATGTAATTCGTACTGAGAGTATTTTTCAGGAAGATGACACTATCTTTCCAGACAGCCAAGTCAAGACAGAGACACTGCAAATTAGGATTTCATTTTAGACCCACTCGATTTCTGAGAAGGACTAGGTCATATGGTAATAAAATAGAGGAGCGGAGAGAGAGCTCCGTGGCCAAGAGTGGCGGAGGCGTTTTGCAAATCATCCGGAGACTGGCTGCAGCCCTGCCTTTGTAAGCATTGTGTTACTCCTTAGAAGACGAACGCATGCTCACTGTAGAAAATGGAGAAATTTGGGGAGGGGGTAAAGAAGGTTTCTAGATTGCTTCTAAACACCATCCGCAGAGCAAACAGGACATATGTGTTTCATGTTGTTCTGGACACAGTCCTGGACCTTGTTTTCTCATTCAGCATGAGGAAAAATCTTTATGTAAACTTACTTTACCTATCAATTTACCTTTATGTAAACTTACTTTACTTTAACTACACCACACCTGTAATCCCAGCTGCTCAGGAGGCTGAGGCAGGAGGGTCAGAAGTTTGAGGACAGCCTGGGCAAATGAGCAAGACGCTATCTCAAAATAATAAAAACGGCTGAGGGTATAGCTCCATGACAGAATGCTTGCGTAGTGTTTGTAGGGTGCTGGGTTCAATCCCAGCACTAGGAGAAAAAAGGAAAACTCACTTTACCTTGTCCCGCCAGGCAAGGTCTCCGCTACAGAGCTATCCTCTCCAACCCTATATTTTATTTAAACTTATTCTTAAGCAATTCTTTTCAAATTTATAGTAATTTTTATTCTAGAAAAATATATGGTCATTGTAGAAAATTTAATAAGTAGAAAAAGGCACATAATAAACAAATACTTTGTAATCCCATTCATTAGAGACAATGCCTAGTAACATTTTAGGGTATCACAGGCCTATCCACATGTTAAGTTATGAGTCTTTTACTCTTTCCTCTTTCCGTGACTGGGCAGCATTTCATCCTAACCAATCACTTGTGGTGTTACAAGGTTGTGAATAATAACAATAGCTTGTGGCTTGTGCCTGTAATCCCACCACTCTGGGAGGCTGAGGCAGGAGGATCACAAGTTGGAGCCCAGCCTGGGCAATTTAACAACTTAATGAGACCCTGTATCAGAAGAGGCCAGAGATGTAGCTCAGTGTAAAGGCTTTGGGTTCAACCCTCAGCCCGGGAAAAAGAAGGAGAGGAGGAGGAAGAAGAAGAGGAAGAAGTGGAGGGTGGTAGACAGAAGATAAAATGCCACACTGCTCCATGAAAGCTTCTGCATTGCAGTGATGCTCGTGAATGCAGTCTTCACCCAGCTGCTGCCAGGAGGGAGGGATTCTGGGTGAGCCCCACCCACCTGCCCGCACTCTGCTCAGCATCTCTCTCAGGGAGCTTTACCTCTCGTTTCAGAACGGATCCCCAGAACATCAAAACACGAAAGTGCTAGCCTCTGTCTGTTTATTGTACTCAATTTTAAGCATCCTTTTTTCCTTTGTACTGGACACTGAACCCAATGAGCACTGAACTACATCCCCAGCCATTTTTATTTTTTACTTGGAGACAAGGTCTCCCTGAGTTGTCCAGGTTGGGCTTCAACTTGCAAACCTCCTGCCTCAGCCTCCCAAATAGTTGGGATTAGAGACATGGACTATCACACCCGGCAAAGTAACCATTCTTTAAATTGTCCTCACTTTTTTTGGCACTGCTTTTCATTTCTGCTTATCTATTAGAAACAAGATTTTTCCTTTATTTATATTTTCTTGCTGTTGCTCATTCTTCACCATTTTGCGGGGATTGACAAAGTCCCGCAGAGCTGAACACACTGGCTCGAAGTCTCCAACTAGGAAAAATCAAACATTCAGCCATGAGTCTTACTTCTGTGTCCATAGAGCTGTTTCTGCCATTCTTGAGCTCTGTGTAAACAGACTTATATACTACATATGCATGTAAGTCGGCTTCCTTCACTCAAAATAATGTCTGTGCAATTCTTCAACGTATTCCGATGGATTTCCACGCAGTTACTCTTCTCTGCTGTATCCTTCTGCTCCTTCAGACCCACACCTACGGGTTCTGCTCCCCACTGGCGCTCGTACCTGCTCCCCACCTCTCTGCACTGTGCCTGTGTGCCTGGATGGGTTCGGCAGTTATTTCACAGGCCTCCCAGCTCCATGGTGCTCTCCACGCCTTTCACACTTCGCCGCAAGCCCTTCAGCGGCTCCCTGTTGCCTCCCAGCTGGCCCCTGCACATTTGTCTTCCTGCTCTCTAAGCTGCATTAACAGTAGCTTTTCTGTTTCTCAAGGGACCTTGGTCTTTGCTGCCTGGAGTGGTTTGCACAAGCAGCGTCCTCTGCCTGAACATCGTGTCCCCTAGTTAACTCTCCTGTAGCTCGACTCTCCTGAACACACGCACCCACCTGCCGCCCTGGGGAGTGCCTCCCCTCCTTACAGTCTCAGGTAACTCCCCGGCTGCTCCCTCCTACATTTGATCACGGTTAGACGTTTCATACTGCTGGGAAGGTTTTGTGAAAT